ATGATTCATCGGATAGGCTCAACACACTCTGCAGCTATGCTCTATGATGCGATGGAAGCATTTGAAGATGGTGATGCAAAGGCCAATGAAAACATGCACTCTGTAAATTCTGCAGAACAACTTAATGTGGCTATTGAAGTCAATATTTTGGCGGCATTGGCAGAACTAGAGCCTACACAGCAGAAAAGGTATTTACGTGCTGCTATATACGGGAAGGCTTTCTGTTCAAATAGCGTGCAGGATGGTTGCATAGTTTCGGCTGTGCGAAAAATGCGGGTTCTAAATCACATGCGTCGTGTAGACCCGGGAATTTTTCTCACAGCACTTCAGTATGAATGGCTCGCTCCATATGCTTTAATTGACCGCCTCCTAGCTCGAAAGCAGCACCAAGTGGCTCTAAGTATGTGCCAGCTCTTAGGCATTGCGCAAGACAAGGTTCTCATCCACTGGGCGTGTGCCAGACTGCGAGAATCAGTGGCTGCTCCAACATTGGATGAACATCTTAGAGATGAAATAAAGGTGCACTTACCTACACGGGACTGTGCGCTTCCTTACGTGAGGATAGCGGCTGCTGCCGACCTGATTGGTCGCCGAAGACTGGCAATCATGTTGCTTCGACACGAAACATGTGCGACCGAGCAAGTAAAATTGCTTCTTAGTATGAGGGAATACGACTGTGCACTAAATCAGGCGGTGAGCTCTATGGAGGTTGATGTCATACATCTTGCCTTGCTAAGTATAGAACGAGCACTCTCGAGTGCTGGTGTTGCTGTAGACTCCTTTTACAGCTTGATTGCTGTTCACAAGGATGCATCAAGCTTGTTACACGCTCTCTATCGTGAATATTTACTCAGGGGTCAGCACAAGCACAAGCTACTTCATAATCTTTTTATGAATCCTAGCCTACCCATTAAATTTTCAGAGGCTGGAAATTTAGCCATAAAAATAGGCTACCGGGAGGCATCAAGGACCATTCGGTTTGAAAGAATGCGAGAAGCCATTGCCCTCTACGCCCAGTCGCGAGACTCGCAGTTTCAGGCGAAACAAACTGAAGAGCACCTCGATCTACTAGAAACGCAAATTGAATTCGAAGCCCGATACGGTGTTGCATGTTTCCTCGATATGTCTGTTACTGAGTCGATATACAACCTCATTGCGCTGGGTGCGAGTCAAACTAGTCTTGGAACGACACTTCAGTCGGATGCGCTCAGGATACAGCGCCGCTTCAGAGTACCTGATCGCCGCTTTTGTCATATTAAGGTCAAAGCACTCGCTGCATCCGGGCAGTGGGCTCAGTTTCATGCCTTTGCCGTAGAGAGACGACCTCTGATAGGCTACAGGCCATTCATACTTGCTCTAGTCAATTGCAATCAACCCACATCGAAGGTCTTGAAGTATGTAGATCGAGTCCAATCGGTGGATGAGCGGTTTAGTTTGCTTGTAGAGTTCAAACTGTGGCGGCCGGCAATCGAGACAGCTAGTCGTCTAAATGATCTTGAGAAGTTCATTCAGTTGCAGAGTTCAAGTTGCAACGACCCGCAGCTTAGGGCAGAAATAAGCCAGCAGTTGATCAGGCTGGGTGGATTTTGATGACACTTGATGAAAACAACAGCTGAAGCTTCGCGCGCGGGGAGGGCGCATGAGGAGGGAGGCCACGGAGCTCAATTAGACGAATACGCCGCACTGGACAGGGGTCCGGAGACTGGCGCGTCCCGCCAGGGGTGCGGAGATGGCGCGCCCGGCCAGGGCCGCCAGGGAGGCCTCGCTGGGGGGCCTGCAAGGGAGGCCCCGAACGCGGGAAATACGACACCTTCTAGTTTGGACCCCATCCGCGCCCCCGGCGCCTGAATAAAGCCCTAATAAAGCCCCCAGCCGCCGGTCTCAAACCATCGGCATGTAGAGAATAGCCAAGCTAAAATTTCCCGCGACCTAGCTTATTCGAACTTTGGCCCGCTGTTGGCCCATACTAACCCGCGGACGGAACGAGAACCTTTTGCTATGGTTCGAGCGTCTTTATAGCCCCCAACCACGCGACAATGCGGAATTATGCAACGATCCCAGCAGCTTCGTGCTCCGGTAGTGTGAGCCTGACGCACATGCGCAGACGCGAAGTGCTGCCGGTCGCGTGGTGACTCGAACCGTCCTTCGGGGGCTGGGATGGGGCGCGTTCGATCCCCTTGACCCCATTTTGATGTCTATCGACCTCTCGCAGCATCGGGGATCGTATATCACCATCCCCAGTCAATTCCCTTCAGTAGGGCTGGGTTGGTCGGTCGTCGTCGCCGCCGTCGTCGCCGCCGTCGCCGCCGCCGCCGCCGCCGTCGTCGTCGTCACGCGCGCGTGGAAATTCGAACCCACAATCAAGGGCAGCGGACCTCCGGAAATAGCATCTCAATTCCACCCGGGAAGGGCGAATTCGTACATAAACCACACGAAACGACCGTCGACCGAGGGGCTGCCCCGTTCGACGTGAAGATCGCGACGATCCTTCGGAGTAACGCGACGCGCGCACGATGTCATTGACGCTGAGACGCACTGTACCGTTACTCCGAAGGATAAGCGATTCCAGACCCGCCCTCGGGTCCCGATTGCAGCCCATAACGTGCGCAGCGGCGCTTCAACGCGATACAATTCAGCGTCCGTGGGTTACTAGTATGACATTGTGTGGCTCCTCCACGATAAGATCCCGCATCGAATGGCTGGATATCAAATCGAGAAAATCGATGGCAAAGAGGGCTTTGGCAGTGGTGATGAGCCAAATCCCGCATGAGGGGGTCGGATAATACAACTTGACTTTCGTTGTTCCCACCCCTCATAAACCGGCGCGTTTGATCGCGTGGGACAGGCCCTCGAATTTAACTCGAACATTTTTCTGGACGATTCGTCCCGCCAGCACTCTGGAATTTCCCACCGCGCGTCGCCATCGGTAAGATTTTGCTTACTTGGACCAGCAACCGCTTCCGACGGCGGGCGCCGTAATTTCAGCGCGGCCCGTGAATTTAACTCGTCGACCCAGGGAGTGTTACAAAGCAAAACGTTTGGGTTAATTTATTGAAGTAGGAATCGAAAACCTCATCGAAATCGTACAAAACTGCATCCTTTCGACCGACGGATAACGCTGCGATGATGTGATGCGCCGGCACCGCGCCGTTTTGCGCCAGGTGGTGCACGAAAAGCGCGCGTGCTGCGTCGGGCAGCGACGACGGGGTTCGGGAGCGCAAAAAATTCTGCTGGCGGCATTCTGCGGCGACTGTCGATCACTGCGACTGCGGGGCGCGCCGACTCGATTTTTCACATTCCCGGGTCCATATAATGACAGCTGGCATGGGGCAACTCATCACCGCTCTGCGATCGCCCTGCGACTGAATTAGGTTCGAAACTCCCCCGCGCGCGCGCGACGACGACGACGACGGCGGCGGCGGCGGCGGCGACGACGGACCGACCGACCGACCGACCCAGAAAATAAGTGCCAGGAGCTCCCTGGGGACCTTGGGGGGGTCGCCCGACGCCTTCCCAAGTACGCCCCCGCCGGACCCAGTCGAATTTTACAGACCCGACCCCCCATGCGGGATTTTACTCGATGGGCACCTTGCACATATCGTAAATTCTGAAGATATCTAGATATGCCGCAATTTTATCCTACGGCTATGATATATCGCCTGCGCGTTCGTCGTAGCAGGCTTTCAAATTTTTGTATTGATGCCGCTCGTTCAGTCACCAGTTAATGCGAGTGTGCACGACTTTAACGAGGTTCCGACATCGTTACTGTGGGAGGTTCAAGCTTCGTTGAATGAGGCGGCTGGCCTCGCCGGTAACTGTCGTGCAGATGCGCAACTGAAACACCTGGAAGATACCTTCCATCGTACCAAATGGAAGCTCAGGATTTGCAAGACAATGAGAGCTTCAATGGTTGATCTAGCAGGTACAGGCTGGCGCCTAGTCAGATTATGGCATGCTATCAGTATACTGGTCTTTTCTATCTCAGTGAACATCACCAGCGATATCGAATTGACTTATTCTACCGATTGGGATGAGCGTCCCTGCGAAGAGCTTTGGAGATCTCAGATCTTTCCGAACCTGGTGGGGGGTGCCGAAGACGCAGTCTGTGCTGCAAGGCGGATTCCATTGGCTGCACTTTCATCATGTGCCGCAGCTCGAACCTTTGTCACCATGCGCAAGCTCGGCAATTCATTCTCCAAGGCACTGCACTGTGAGCCGGGAAGATTCGGCGGTACTAGTTCTGGCTGGCTCGCTATGCGCAATTCGGTGTCATCGGTCTCTTATTGTTGCTAAAACGACTGGTTAAACGACGGATCAATCTAGTGCAGGTACGACTGCACTTTCCTTGCATTGCTGGAACAATATAGCTGCCACATGGAGCGCGCATGTGCGACTGCGAAAGCCCTTGACAACAGAGCATTTTATTCTAGGTGCCGATTACTTAAGGACTGTAACAGTAAACTTACTTGGTTTCCTGCAGCTTCGGTCATCAATCCGAATCTACGCGTTGCACAATTCCTTGCCTCATTCTGCAAATTCGAGAAACCAAAATCTCTGAGGCTCGCAAGGGATATTGTGACGCGCATTTGTATCCTTGCTCGTGGCATGCATGCAGTACGCTCCGTGCGACTGGCAGCAGCTCGACGTGATAGCAGGCTCACGATGGCTAGAGCACAATTCGCTCTAACCTGTCGGCGACCATCAAAAATTGATCTTGTTTCGAAGCATTCCATTGAATTGGCGGTTTCTTGCGATTTGTGCGAATCTCGATCTCTGGTTTTTGGAAGGAAACGGCCAGAATCATATATCAAAGTTTCTGGGCAGTTATTTAGCACGCGCAATGTGCATCATTTCCGCCCGCATTGGCAGTACCTGCGACTTCAGCGACTCTGGGCGTTTGTCAATTGGTCCATAACCTTATGTAATGCTGCGTCTCCTCTGGTGCGACGGCTCGTGCACTTTCCATGTGAGATCGCAAGCCCGCTCGCTGCCACCGTGGTTGATAATTCTATAATCATCGACTCTCTTCATCATATCCAGACAAAGTTGATGGGAAACCCAGTGGCAGGGATGATAATCGACCATGTTGAATACTTGAGCACTGTGGGAATGGTAATACATGCAGGCAACGGCCTTGCACAAAACGAGTCTTCAAATTTCAATCTAGAACGATCTGCAATTGCAAGTGCATTGGATGTAAAGCTTCGCCATTGCCTCTCTCAGCTTAGTAATGCTGGACATAAAAGTCGATGGAACCCCCAGGAACTTCTTAACAGAAGTCAGGGCAAGCAAGGCACCTGGGTGCCCCTTACGTTGTATGGAGCTTTCTTATCGCAGGAAAATACTAACAAGCATCTGTTGCCAACGTCGAGGCCATCCGATCTCACAGATGGGCTCACAGTAGCTGATCAATACATCGGAAAGATGGAGGAGCGCCATCGTAAGCGCCTGATAGGATTCTCGCTCGCTGCTGGGATGTTGGCAGCTTCTTATGAAAGGCCTTCATTTTTATCTGCAGAGTATTGTCAAGTTCGCCGTGGAATTCTTGGGTTGATTTTAGCGCCTGAAGCTCGCACTTGTCCCGCTTACCTCGATCAACCTTGTGACGCAATTTGGGGCCCACAAAGAGCACCTGCTTGCGTAGCTCGCCTGGCGCGAATTTCGCACACACCACTGACTCTTTTGTTCCAGCCTCCTGGCGTAGACATGGGTGAACATTCGTCCACGTCCGACCAACGGGCCTCTCGTGATCCACACGTTCTTCATATCCAGTTATTGAATCGTTGCTCTGTGGGTCCCATGCTCACGTATTCAGAATCATCTATCATCCCTCAATCTGTATTTGATTATAAATGGGACTCATGCCTCGAAGCTTTCGAAGCACAGCTGCAAGTCATTGAACTTGACAGATGCGGCTCGGTTTGCACTTCCACGCAACTTTTGCGCAGTAACATAGTCCTGTTCCGGCAGCTTTTACTGTCCCGAAAATGCGATCAACGCGATACTGAATGTCACACCATCGGCCAAATAAAAAATGCCATTAGACCAGTATCCAATTTTGCGAGCAAGTTCCGAGAAGCGCATATAATGTTATGGTTCCTACTGGAATCAAATTTGAAGAACTACGACTCATGCATGCGCCAAGTGAAGGCATGCGATGCGTCTGGAAGAATTGTTATTCCACAACCGCTTAAATTCTTACGTGCTGCTTCACAGCACCATCAAAACCAGCAGTCCACCTGTTCCAACAAATTGTTATTGAATCTCGGGCAATTTGACAATTCACAGAGCAGAGCCAATCTGGCAATCCAATCTCCAACCAATCCGATGGACTATCCAAACGCTCCCTGCAGCCAATTGGATAAGGTGAGTCTGGAAGCATGAGATGAAATTTGCTCAATTTTCAATTAGGTGCGTGCCATTTTGATAGATCTACAAAGCGTATTGAGGAATTCGCCAAGTGAATACAAAGATATGATTTCCAAGTCAATGAGCATCACCGACGTGCTGTGTATGCTGTATGGACTCCATACACATATGGCCTTGCTCTTGGCACCTTCGAGAATGAAGCAGTTTTCAACAGTCGTAGCGTTAAATGTGCCTTTCGGATTACATAGAAGGATCGTAGATTGTGTCTTTTCTATGAGCACCATTATTCGACACTCACGGGCAATAGTATCTCTCGCAAATGCCACGATATCGTCACGTGGAGCTCAGCATGGCCTAGCTGTCCTGGTTACAGACGCTGCTTTTGTTGAGACAATAATATGTAGCGCCTCTGCCTGCCTTGCGACCGATGTGTATGTCGAATCTATCGGATTAGTTGCTGATGTGCGTTGTTCTATCGTTGGTGCGCGCAATATCAATCACGTAGAGCTCACAACAGTGACCGATGTATATCGCCGATGGGCTATAGACCGCATCAATACTTCGAGAGGGGAACGCACCGCCAATTCTCATTTGATCCCTTGCCCTCTCCCAAGTGACCATTGTGTCCTTGAGGCCCGTTGCTCCCTAAACGACAACTTGGGTCCTCTTCATGAGAAAATGTTCTGTCTGATGAGGTGCTGCTTTCGAGACGTAATTCAAACGACAATCTTTAGGATAAAATCCGCCTGCGATGCGAATGTGGTAAGCCTGAGCACCAATAGCTTCGAGGCACTGCGACTATCCATTTCCAACGAGCTCATTCATTGGCCCTTGTTAACTGGAACGGGACTTCATAAAGATAATCAGCTAGTTGAAGTCGTATGTAGCTCTGCGGCTCAATCCTCACTCTCGCATGTGCTGGTCTGTCTTTTCTTAATGAAAGACAATTCCACTTTCATTAAGCTGCACGTGCTTCATGTTGTGGTTGCATTGATATTACTCAGAGATGATCTGAATGTTTGTAGATGACTCATGAAGCAACTACGCCTGAGTAGCTTTTATCCTTGTAGGTCTCTTACTCACGTGTTGCTATGAAACTTCTAAAAGCATTGCTCAATGGCTCTTTCGTGGATCCTAAAATAATCCTGAACCTATTGCGAATCTTGCGACTGGAATCTGACTTCAATGGCCACATTCATGTTCGAAGACTATCTGCTCGTCGCGGTTCACCAAGTTTGTGGAACAGCGTAATTTTTTTGGCGAGAAATATATTTGTCAAAATCCCAAGCGAGTATGTGGCGAGCGGTACCTGTACATGCGGCAAGAGTAAAACACATTTCCTTAATGCCTTGCAAGGCACTTGCGAAGAACTCACCCAACCGGGCACTAGCGTGTCTAATTCTCACTTGCATGGGCGTCTAGCGAGTGAAATAATGTCAATCATAAGTGATGAGCACATCCTAACCGGTGATTTGAGCTTGTACAGTTCAGTTCACCTGTGCCAACAAGTTCAACGGTTACTCAAGCAAATCGAACAAAGCGCAATCGACGCGTGGCAACCTCGTAGTTTCAAAGCGAGCAAAAGTATGCTGATACTTGCTGAGTATGCTATGTCCCCACTGCATTCAAGATGAAATTCGCAGCTGCTAGGCCTTGTAAAACCCACCAGTAGAATCGGGCTTGTATCCGTACACCAGCCTTTACCAGCCTCTGCTATCATTCTACCGATTCACTATTTGAAAGCAGGTGCCAATCATCTGAATCTAATCACACGCTTACCTTGGGAGCATGGGCGGGCTCAAGTGTCAGCCTATCAATTGATTCGTCAGTCCTGCTAGACTTTACCACCCAAGGTCCAAAAAGTAGCGGGAATTTGCGAGTCGGTGATCAAGCAAAGAAAAGGTCTGCAATTCCCACCTGGGCCACGCGACCAGTGGGGCATATTCTTCCGCAGGGGCGGTTGCGTCGTTTTAAAATTAACACCAACTCAAATTAAGAATGGTATATTTGATGTGAAAAAATCACCACCCATTTTCTTCTAATAACACTTCACAACATCACCATGCTTCATCCCGCATATGCATATCATCATCGCTGCTGTCTGCGTCAACTAGTGGCTGCATATCACCATCTGCTTCATCAATTTGCAACTCCGACAACTTCTGAGCTTTGTCATCTGATTTAGCCGAAGGGACTTGAGCAGTCTTGATCTCTTGTAATCACCCCGATCAGCTGACGAAGCAGAAGTCATCCACAGGGTGTGGTGCTAGCGCTGCCCCATCCGGTGGATGTTTGTGTCTCTAATTTTGAGCCCCACCCAATATGCCTGCGATGATACTGGTGCCGATCTGGACTCGCAACGAGCACAACTCTGCGTCACGACCGTCACACATGGCCTAACACTGGGGGGATTCGGTGGCAGTAGAGACGTCTAGCTCTAGGGAAGCTCTGTTCCCCCCGTACTTTTCAAGTTCTCCACATTCGCGGGTCGTAAAAGTTTTGAACTAGATCTACTCGGTTGTTGACACCCGGCGGCCATGACATCAGTTTGTTGTTAGAGAGTTTTGTCTAGTTAGAGGAATATGAGAGTATCCCTAATTAGGCCCCTCCTCTCTCCCCTTGTGCTTCTTTCTCCACAGTTTATGCTAAGGGGAATTGCGGGGCTGCACCTGCAAAGCGAATTCCTCGTCACGGTCACGGTGGCCAGCCTGAGTATAGTGGACTTGAAAAAGGTATCTATCTGAGTTGGGTACTAGTCTCAATCACCACCATCCCCATCATCTACATTACCTTGCTCCCTCATCGTCGCGACGTCACACTATGGAGATGACACTGCACTCCCCCTTGACGTTGACCTCAACGTTCTTTATTACCCTACAATAGTAGTTTGGGGTGTCCCTCCCTAGTTGTAGCACCACCTCGGTTTCCGACTCGGGCATCCGATGCAGCGGTTCTAGGACTTGGCACGGCGCGGCGCTCGGTCTGTGGACCATGTCGCGCCTTGGGCCCGGGGCCCGGCTGCGAGTCGCTCGGGAAAGACCATCGGTCGAAGGCGAGCAGCTTAGTTCGCGTCGGGCAGCCCGTGGATGGCGAATGGTGGGGGGCGACCGACGAGGGGCCCGCTGGCAACTTAGGGAGATAGAGAGGTTTCTACCCTCCCGAGTGGTCTGTCAAGGACCGGGCAGCCACAAGGCCGCATGCATTGCGCGGTGAGCACCGTGTCGCCCGCGGCGCCAGCAGGATTGTCGGTGAGGATATCAGGAACGCCGGTGTACGGTCACTGTGCGGCCTCGATAGTTCACTCTCGGACACCAGGGCAGCCTAGGCAGGCTGCACTGTCGTGTCCCTTGTTTTTCTATCTTGCTAAAAACAGTGCTGCAGGTCAGGGGAGTATACAGTCAGATCCAAACAGAATTTGGAACCTGCGTTTGCTGTCACACTTGTTGAGTTCGAGACGATTCCGCTCGACAAGGCCAGTGGTGAAGTCAGAGTCCTTGTAATTTAGGGCCAGGTTTGCTTCCAAATGCGTGTTAGGTACAGCGTCTTCACCGTGCCTCCAGTGCGCGATTGCTGCAGCGTAGACATGCTGATGCACACATATCTCCTGAACAAGATTAGAGCGGGCCCTTGCAAGAATTATTCGCGCCGTGTCAGCTGGTCCATGGCGACACTCGAACCACATGGCACCATAGTTCGGATCAGCATTAGCGCATCTGAGATCTAGGCGGTCCGCGGCTTCAGCATCGACGGCGTGCATGAGTTGTTCTTTCGATATTTTATGTGTCCATTTCCTAGCATGCAACTCATTCTCGCATAATATTCGGTCAAGAGCTTCCAGAAGCTGCAAGCGTGCCACTTCAACAAAGGAGTCCCCATACTGGGGCGTGAATTGTACTGCAAAATTGAGAGCTGTTTGTGCTGCGCTGAGGTTGAATGTGATGAAATGGGAGATAA